CTTTATGTCAGTTTTGTTCCTTCTGAACTTTCTCCCCCCATAACTTTTATAGGATTTTTAAAGCTTCCCTGTAAGAATTGTTCCCGCTGCAATCTTTGGACTCACAAATTCTTGTTCTGAGTTTTCGCTTGTTAGCAGCTGAGCTGGTGGAAGGTGGACAGGCAGTGAGGTGGCCTTTGCATAGAGATGCTCCATGTGCAAGAAGCAGAGGTGCAGCACCTCCTTCCACTACTGCGCTGCCCGAACCAGGGGGGGAGCGATGGCAGCCAGAGCTGCTGCTTCTCCATGCAGCCAGGCAGCGGCGGCAGGCAGTGCCAGCACAGCACGGCAGGCTAAACAAACTGCTTTGCAAGAAGAGGGCAGCAGGTCAAACCAACCGCTTCCTGAATTTTAGAAATGGGAGACAAGTTCACAGGTATCCTTACAGAGCTCTGTTTCTTGATTTTTATTTTTTTTTTAACCCAGGGATAGGTACCTCATCATTAAAAGGTAAAATTTTAGGTGAGCCTATACAGGACTGGTCTTAATTGTCCAACCTTGAATTCTTATTTGACAGCGACCCTGACAGAAGTGTCACTTCATCCTGCAGATGCTTGTTGTTCTATTTCTTAGAGAAAAGGGTACCAATGGGCATGCCTTTGCTCTTCTTTCCATTGTTACTATAATGTAAATTTACTTTTAAAATTTATTTTTGAAATCATCTACCAGAGAAATACTCACCTACCAGAGAATACCTGTTTGCTAATTTTCTGCAGTCAGTTGCCTTAAATCCACAAGGATGGACCAATTTCCCAGCACAGTCTCCATAACCTTTTGAAAGAAACATTAATTTAAAAGACTCCACTTTTCCTGTAGCTTTGATAGGGACACATCACAACAAAGCTTGAAATTAAAGGAACAGAGTCATCGTTGAACTTTTAAATGTACCTGTTGCATTTCCTTGTATTCCCAAGTATGTACCATACAGAAGTTGATAAATTCTGCTAGCCTTTCTGCAAAACACAGGGAGAGCCAGCGTGAGCACTTTTCAGCCTCTGACAGAACTGTAAAAAACTTCCTTTACTTTTTTAGTTTTTCAAATCTAAGCCTGGCTGTTGCACCAGCATTAATGCAACCCCAGAAAGTCAGTGGGACCTTAACACAGACAAGGATGTGCAGAAGATAAGCTATTGTTTTAAATTGCTCTTACTGGTGGACTGAGCTGGTGGGTAAGACTGCTGCATTTGTTTTAAGAGTCCAAAAGATGAAACCTCCTTATAAATGCTGGTCTCCATACCAGCACAGAGGCGCGTATTATTGTCCAAGACAAAGTAATGCGCAAAACTTCAAAACATGCTGGTATTGCTCCAAATAGGAAAGAGCAGGAAAGAAAGGAGTATGTGCATGAGCAAGGAGAGGGAACTGAAAACCAGACAGCAGAATACCTGTGAGCACACTCCTAAGAAAAAGCTGAAAGGGAGCTCTTTGATCTAAACACTTTCTTGGTTAAAAGGTCTTTGAGCTGCAAGCAAAAAACCTATTCTCAGCTATTTGAGCCCTCTGTGTTCAGGGAAACAGGATCTTGCACATTCTTTATAAATAAGAGAGATTCCAGAGATACCTGAGCCTCCATCATCAGCCCCTCTCAGGAACACAAAACCTTCAACTTTGATCACTCACTTCTGACAAAAGGGATCACAGTCTGAGTTGTTCTCCTCCTCCTTTCCTCAAAAATTAGAAAGATAAATAGTTCACACAGTAAAATGTGCTATATAGGGTATTTTAAAATAAAACAGTACTTTAGCTTCTGAAGGCATTACAAATCCAAAGACAACTTTTAAATATGCTTAAATCTAACAGTTTAGTAGAAGCAAATTATTCCAAGTGAAAATCAACCCCACGTTGTGGTGACAGAATTTGAGTTTTTCTATGAAGAAAAAAAAAAAATTTGCAGATTATTCAAGCTGGAAAACAAGCAGAAAAATACCTTAATAAACAGAGCAGTAGAGTTGGAATGCTCCTCTCTAGATTGCCTAGTCCAACCCCATCCCAAACATTTCCAACCCAGCCTGGGTTTCAAGACTGAAGCATGGCTTTTTCTTGCCCTTCACGTCTAAGGCTAAGTACATGCAGTTGAACAATTCTTCTACAGCTGCTTCCTAGGCTGGATGCAAGGAAGCTTGTTACCATCACGAAGTTTTCACACGCTAAATTTCTAATTCGCTCTTTGTCAGGTGTACTTTCACAGAGCCCCATAACTAACATTTGTGCAACAAGCATTTGCTTAGTTAGACCAGTAAAACTGATGTAGCTCAGTTCACAGACTTCAATTCTGCGCCCTGCTCCTGCAGGAAAAAGAAAAAAAGAAAAAAAAAAAAAAGGAGGGGGGAAAAAAAAAGCAATCCAGCAAAACCACCACATAGGTATTTACAAACAATCATAACTTTGATACATCAGGCAGGATGGATAAAAACCGCAACTACATATTTATGGGGGTGCATCATGAATTTTTAATTTACTTGGTATTACAAAGTGTTAACTGTTTTGCCACGAACAATCACAGTAAGAGAAAGACGAGTCAGAACAAAGCAATTACTCAACTATTTTTTTTCCCCAAGTAACATTTATTAATAACATTCTTAAAGTGATAACTTAAGAGTCATAAGGAGGGGGGCTGTTGTCAGTAAACATACAATGAAAAGGTAGTAAGATTTTTATATTAAAGTATGACTAAAAAGGCTTTTAACATAGTGTTCAACCAAATTTAATATTAAAACATTCAAAACTGCTAAAAGTGTTGCAATCAGTTCTACTGAACTTACAAAAACCTCATTTCAGTAGTCAATACTAACCTATTACTTATATAAAATTTTAAACTCCATTCTTAATTTTTGTAAACAAAGCACCTAATAAGCATTTGAAAGAAAAAAGTTAGTTTACATCCCATTAAACTGCAGCACATGTGTGTGAAACCTCAGGCATGACCAGGCATGGAGCATAATTAGGCACAGAACAAGACAGAGTTTCCACAGCCAGCTGCTGAATACACTTATGTTGTCAAAGGTCTTCTTTATTTATACTAATTCCATTATCATTTAGAGCTGAAAAATTAATAAATCCTCCATGTAGAACACCTCAAGGAGAAAAAGGAGTCATGTTACATAGATTTGTGAAGCTTCTGAGGGCTTCAAGTAGCGCATGACTTTGAATGAGTTACGACTTCTTTATCTCTTTCCAGCATTTTCAGAAACTTCTTCATAACCATTTAACTTTGGCAGATACTGGGCTTGTCAAAGAACACGACAATACATCAGAAGACAAGTTTTCAGTCTGCTGCTGGAACACTGAGGTATGCCGTAATTTACTAAAGTGCCAGGCAAAAACTGACAATGGTGCGCAAGATCATTGTATTCTGAGGCTGTCCGGTGAAGCTTAGGTCAAGAAAGTCAAGAGGGGCAACTACCAACACACAAAAACTTTGTAATTTTTGTTTTCTTAGGGAAGTTGCAAACAAGATGGTTACTGTACCCGTATCAGCTGGCACCACGGTCAATCTGTGCGAATGGCAACAACTGATACTCAGGCTGTAAGTTTGTCTGCTCCTGACTCTTGTGAACAAACCTGATACAAATTACATAAAGCGGCAAGTTTGCAGTAAGCCTTTGTTAACTGCCAATATAGATTTACAATTGTCTTAATTAGCATACTTCCAAAGTAAATCTAGCTAAACTAGATTTAATCTGGGTAAGTTTTCCTGAGCTGACATGCCCCAAACTAACTATAAATGTCTAGAGGTGACCTTCAGAGGAACATTGAGGCACTTACGTGAAGCACTGCAGGAAAGCCTGCATTGCCATTGCCCAGCATGTGCTTATTCGGTTGTTTTCTCCAGGGTTCTTGAACTTGTACCGACTAGAGGAATGACATTCATTTAAAGAATAGGAAAAATGTTTTAACGACTACCTGACATTAGCACTAAGCGAACTCAGTGGTTTCCTGTCATTGCCTTCTCCAATTTTCTTTGGTGTAAAGTGTTAGCCTTACAGCTATACAAATTTTCTATGCCTAATCCCCCTCAATTTGCAGTTTCCTGAAAAAAGAAAGTGTCAAACAAACTCAAGCTCTTCTAAATGCAAACTAATGATTTAAACTATTTCTCCTTTTCCAAGTCTTTAAAAACTAAAACAAATGAAGATTAAACAAGTTAAACACATGCATGGGCCTTAACTAACACAGGCACTACTAGCACTATTCAAACCTGTTGTTTTGTCTATCAGTTGCAAAGAATCTTCAAAAATAGTTTAAAAAAAAAACCCAAACCAACAAACAAACAAAAAAAAAAAGAGTATGGTGTAGATGCAAAAGCTAAAGAAAAAAATCTGTCCTGTCTTCCCCCATCCCTTTGAACCGATCTACAGCCAAATGAAGATCACAGATATAGACCTAGTCTCAATGGGTAGGAGAAGAACCAGGCCAGAGTTAACATTTCACCCCACCCCACAAATAACACTTCTTGAGCAAAAACCCTCTTGCCTTTCGCACCATCGTGTTTGTCAACTATTCTAGGAGCTGCACCGAAGTTTCCACGACCACTGTGTAAGTACCTCCCTCCTTTAATTTTTTTGGAAATGGTTGGTGATGAGATATAATCCAAAGACTTGCATCAAAGCTTAACAATTTTCACAATTAAGGCATAAACCAGTGACACTCAGGGCGGGGGGGAAGAGCTCACAGCCCCAACCTAAATTTGCCCTGTTATCTATTTTATGGCTTACAATGTACATAGACTAACGTACACACTGTTTATTCAATTACTTCTAGTAATGGAACTACAGTTTCATTCGGTGGTTGCTGTCATCTTTGCATTCACAATCTGGAAAGAAATCCTATGTAGGGTACTGTACCTTCTTTTTAATGAAACTTGACTAGTCAATCAAAATTAGGAAAACATTTCATGCATCAAACTGATACGGGCAAGCAACTTTTATAAAAATATACCGTATAGAAACACATTTGGAAAATTGCATAGAAAATATCCTTTTATTTAAATTGAAATAAGGCACGGTTTTACTAGCTATGGTTTGGCTGTAAAAATGCAAGTCTATTTTGATTATTTTTATGTTATTAACAATATTTTCCATAAAAATATAGGTGTGGGAGTAAAAAACCCTTTTACACAGAGTAGGAAATACTCTACTGTAAAACCTCACCAAATTTACTGTAATTAATTTGTAGAAAATTTGAATACTATTTTAAATCAGGATCCTACATGTTATTGTCCTCCAGGCTGTTCACTGGCTGATGCTGTGCTTTCTTCATTTCCTGTATAATCCAGGTGTTCCATCATCTGAATGTAAGAAAAATAAAAAAAAAAACGAGAGATGGCTTTTTATAAAGAAATACTGCTTTTCCCCATTGGTCCAAAGTATTTGTTAGCTAAGAGAAATATAATTAAACATGTGTTAGAGTGCACTTTAGCAGCATACAGATAAGAAGTTCTCTATAGATCAGAAAAGTATTCAAGCCAAATAATCAAAGCTCTCTTAGCTAATGCTTTCCACCCAAAAAGCATTCTCCAACAAAGGATCCAAGTCCTCTACAAGAAATTACACTGAGTCAAAAGTCTCTTATTATTAAATACAAAGAACAACAACAAAAAAATACTGGGTTAAGTAAACTTTCCAAAGACTTGGTTTGCAGAACTGGAAATAGACCCTAGGATCCTACCTAACATGTATAGATAGCAAGCAATAGCTTGCATAGAAAAGACTAGCTTTCTCTTTTCATGACTGTACAGGCTAGCTGTATCCCAGTTAGGAAAAACTGACTAAAAAAATGGCATTGCCACATTTCTTCGTAAATTTTCCTTTAAAAAGGATAAAGGAAATGGAATCATAAGGTCCTGCAACAGAACAGAACGTAAACCTGATTATTATATAGACTGATTATACTTTCCAATTAACGTAACTGATTAGGTCATCTGAACAACACAAGACAACGTTGCACTTTTCCTGACTAAAAAGCAGCCTGTTTCCCTATCTGCTACTGTATTGCTAGAGGGCAAGGAAGGCTCTGGTTTCCTCCCTGGCATTAAGTAAGGCATTGAATAAGTTGCAGAGGTAACGCACACAGTTGTTAGCATGACAAACTGAGCCTCATCAGTTTGAGGGCTTCAGAATTAAGCATAATTAACAACAGACCAAGAATTGGACAGTTTTGATAGCTGACAACCAGAGGCAGAAGATCAGAAGTATTAAAACTAATGCTGAAAAACAGAACATGTCAAGGAGCCCGCATGCCCAGCGTGGCAGGATTGTTAGGACAACAGCACAATGCTTTCAGCATCAGGTTTTCTAACCCTACATATGTTCTTCCACAGGGACGTATCCCGCCTAGTAGCAAAAAGGCCCCCAGTCTTTCTGCAAAACAGCCGCCCACTGCACGGGTTCTGAGCTGGGCAGACTTCCACACGATGAGGACACGATTGCTTTCTTGTCTTACTAGCACCCACTGGAGGATCCCTGGCAAAACAAAGGCAGGCTCTGACACCGTTGTGTCATACGCGCTTTAGTGTGGTATAATTCTGTATAGAGAGCAAAGAGAGTAGTTCCATTAACTTCTCTCTTCTCTAGCCATGACCCACCTCTGTGCCATACCTCTTAGGCCAACAGAATTGTTTCATCGCAAGGTGTACAAACATACCTTATTAAAAAAGCAGGTTTGCTTAAACAAGCTGTTTCCCAATCCAGACACACCAACACGCCGCGCAGTAAGCTGAGATGACAGCTCCAAGGCAGAAACAAGCCACTGGGACTTAAGGAAGGCTTAGGAGAACCTAGTGGCCACAATATCAGTCTGACTAAAACCAGAAAAGGTCTTTCACATCCCTCCCTTCACGTGTCACAATTCAGACAGCAAGAATTAAGACAGGCACTAGTCTTGGCAGTACACCCAAGAACTGAGTTACAGCAATAGCACACACTCAGTCCAGCAGTGAATACCAAGCTCCTGTGCTTTCACTGCAGTATATCTAGAACTTTCCCCCTGCACTGTGACCAAAAACCCACATCAAAAGTCACCCAAAGCAAAACGCTCCCTACAATTACAGAAGTCAAACCCTCATTTTGAATGAGGACTGAAGTATTTGTTTCCAGGAAAAAACAACACCTCCACCCACCCCCACCCCAGTACCATGTTACATTAAGTACTGCCATGTATCTTACGTCATCCCAGGGAGGATCATCTAACAGCTGGCATAGAGAAGGTAGTTTTAGTAATCATTTTTGTAAAATGTTTCCTTATTAAATTGGCAAGATGCTTCCAGAGGAAGAGTTAACACTATTTGCAACAATTCAGTGTATCCCAAAGTTAAAGATTCTTCTCTTAATCCTACAATAAGGTAGCATGAAATGTTCTTATGCTTCAGATATCACCTGTATTTAAATTTTTAAGTCTCTGCTTAGTATCTCAGATTTTTAAGTTAACTTTAAAACCAAAACAGCTAGTAGAGCACAAAGGGTGTTTGGGGTTTTTTGATATACCTAAATGTTACAACGCCAAAAAAAAAAAAAAAAAAAAAAAAGAAAGCCACCCCACCCCATTACTAATCTCTCCACCATACAGAAGGAGGATAGCCCACAACTTGAAGTCAGGGACAACAGATGTTTTTATAAGAGTGTAAGACTGCATTAAGGAGCATTTTCCACAAGTGTATCTCAGTTGCAGGTACTCTCAGGACAAACTGCATCCTCAAGCCTCAGCCAAAGCTGCAGAATCTTTATGACAACCAGCAGCAAGACAAAGGCACCCTGCTAAAATCCTGGACAAAGTTTTTGTTTCAAGCCTCGAAAGAGCCAAAGCAATCATACCGTGCATTGTGGAGAGCTGATGAACATTTTTAAAGTGGAACCTTTTCTCCCTGACAGTTTTTAAGGGGGGGGGTGTCAAGATAGGTTAAATTTAAATGTATTTTGGTTACAAAGCTGTCTCCTAACACGGTGAAATATTAAAAACCAACCAAACCCCCCAAAACCACACTCACAGAGCCGAACTATAAACAGCAATATAAACTCTTGCCTGTAAAAGAGTATATAGTACCTACGCACACAGTTGCTTGCAAGATTCACTCTGATGACGTTGCATTCACGTAATTCTTAACAACTTATAGCTATGATTAATCACTAAAAACGTGACAAAATTACAGTACTAAACAGCAGATGCCTGCTGTGTAACACGCTAATGACAAATCCGTTGGGTTATTATTTGAAAGAGAGATAAGAAACCTGCTAAACTCTTCAAACAGACAAACTAAAAAGTTGCAAGACTGATCTAGAAAACTTCAAAGTTGCATTAATCTACTAGATTTTTCATGATATTACTAAAATGATTTCATAGATTGTACTGATACAAAAAAATAGTATTTTTAAATTAAATCAGCATCTGGGAAATAAGTATCAAATTAGTTTATCCTGCAGGCATACATGAGGAGTACAAGCAATCCAGAAAACCTAGAAAAACCTTTATTATACACTTCACAGCAGTGCTACTGCCCATTCAGTGGTAGGAAAGCAGGTGCGTTACTCTCCCAAGAAATCCCTGTGCTTCGGTGAATAGTTAAAATATTTTTCCGTGCAGCAATTCCTTACAGCTCAAGACAACTCCACAAAAAAGCCACACACAGCATAACTAGAATTTAAGACTGCCTCATTGTGCAGCAACACAAATGCTCTCAGCTAAGAATTACGGAACCTCAGCTATCTTAGAGAGTCAAGTATTTCCCATATGTATAAAGTAGAAACTGAAAAACTGATTTTAACAATCCTATCCAAGAACTTCAGCGCACACAGCGGGACAGAATCATTTTAAGTTATAAAAATAGAGTCCAGCCATCTGATTTTCATTTGCAGTCAACCCCTCCCACTTCCTAACCTCTTCTTGGGTTCACATCTCATTTCTTTATTATTAAGTCTTTTTAATGAGACTTAAACTTCTCTTTATTAGAAGTAAGAAGCTAATGAGAAAAGTACTTTTTAGTTCAGAATTTAAGTGAGACAGAGTTCACCATCTCAAACTGTCTTCAGTGTACAGGGCAGACAAGCTACGCTTTATAAACAGACATATAACTTTAGACTTCCGACATAATTCAAGATTATATTTAAGTGCTTAAATTCATCAGGAGGTTGAAATTTGAAAGGTTGCATTGCTCTCTCCATGCTGTGCTTGAGACAGCGGACAGTTAAAATAAATACCATCAGTCTTAGCAGTCACGAGCTATAGCCTAGTAACGTTATCTCGCTGCAGGCTAGAAGCTGGGCAGCAGCAAGACCATAAAAGCTGGTCTGAATACTTACTCCCTATCCCACTGCAAGCACCAGAGGCAGTACAGGACAAAATATTCTGTTGAGTAGTAAGATGATAGAGGGATTGTAATCACGCAGACATGATTACTAAAGGTAAATTATAATGCTGAACATTATAACAGAGGACAACAAAATTGTTGTTTAGCACTAAGCAGGTTTTCATGTCAATGCAGTGGCACAGAAAAATTAGGTGAAAGACTTCCATACAGGTAACAGTAGAGGAACTGACACCAATTCTAAATATTTGAAGACACTCCTAGGGATTTGGAAAATTATAGAGTAGATAGGCACACAAAGCCTGCCTTCAGGCTTAGGGATCATGGCTCACGGATCATGGCTCCATTGGTACTTGATATTAAGTTTTCCTGTATTCTTTTAAAGAAGGAAAAAACCCCCAACACCTAAGCATAAAAACAGATTTATAGCTCGTCTTCACTTCTACCCTCTTCAGAAAAATTAAAAAGATGATACACACAAAAAAGAATGAAAAGAGGAAGCAGAGGGAGAAAAAAGAAAAAAGAAATCATAAGATGATTAATAAAGTTGCATTAAAGGAAGGCCATAATCACACCTTGTAGCAAAGGCGTCCTGGAGGAGTCCGATACCTAAATAAAATTCATTTCATTATTAAAATAATATACAACAAAACCCAGAAAAAAACAAACCTCAAAAAAGCTAACTAATGGACTACAAACAAACAGCAGCATTCATGAAGTTTAGCCACCTGATACACTGCACATGCTCTTGTACCCCTATTCTTAGGACGCTTTGCTCTAAGAAGCCTGCAAGGTTTCTGTTCCCATGAGGCCAAAGCAAACCTCTACAGAAGTCTGGTCACCCTTGTCAACGGGGCAGCTCTGCTCCAGTCCAACTTACCATTGTTGTAGCAAAAAATAGTCTTCTGTCACCTTTCTATGTCTTTCCTCCTGGAATGAGAACTGAAATCTGGAGATTTCAACCCTGGGGTTGTGTGGGTTTGGGGGTTTTTTGGTGTGTTTGTAAGTTCAGTAAGGACAGTTCAAAATATAGCTTTATGTGAGGAGGACAACATATGGGAAAGACCAACAATAGAGCATTCTGTGAGTGCAGCTTGAATAACACCCTCTGGAAAAAAAAAACTAATATAGAAGTTCTTCAGAAAGTTAATAGAAACATAGGAGTTAGTGAAGTTACACAGAGGTGTTCAATCACAAACAAGTCTAACTTAGGGGTGGTGGAAATCAACAGTTTAAATTGTGCCAGAAATGAAGTCATCTGACCTCAAAACAAGCTGAAGTTCAAAGCAGTTTTAATCCTTCAAGAAACCAGTTGAAAGGACATGAAATAACTGCTATGGCAACATAATTATTCCAAGTATGAGTTTTGCTATGAGAAGTGCAAGAAATTGTTGTCGCTAAAGACAGTTGCCAGATTTACTTAGGCCAATCTTACTCAGAACTCAAGTGAGGAAAATAAATTGCAAAACTTTTTCACCCCAACAGAGCCAGAGTTACTGGGCTTTATATATGCAACACTGTTTATTTTAGAATAGCAAACAGTCACCAATTTGTATACAAAGGCATGGTAAGCCAAATTCATTCCTACCTACAGAGAAACATTTCTATTCACTGGACCTATGAAAGGAGAAGAGTTGTTTTTGTAGACAAAAAGACAGGGTATCTAGTTAAAGCTGAAGATCTCCTGAGTAATTTCATACCTAGCCAACCTCCAGCTGAAGCAAGTGTAGAAATTAGTTAGATGAACCAAAGGTAGTGTTGAGCTGATAATACGAGAGGAGCTGCGTGCCTGCAGTTTTACATTTACAAGAATTACCACCACCTTGACTTCCACTGATCCACTTAAACCTCGCAACCCAGAAGTTGACAAAGCAGGAGCTGCTCCTTTCCACCATCAAATCCACATCACCCACCTCCCCCTGCAACGGACTGTCTGTTCTCTGAGCCGAGTTCAACACAGCCTACATTCAGGTGATAGTTTCTGAATTCAAACAATATTGGAATTTAGGTCTCAAACAAAATTTAGACTAATCTCGAGACTGGCCTGTCTTACGATAGATGCCAGCTCACAAGGGCTACTGGCACACTTGGTTACTACAGCGAGTCAAATCAGGGGGAAAGTGCAAATGTCACGGGCAGAGGCAGACAGCTGGTGGGATTTTAAGGACTGCAGATCCTGGGTAGTGTTAGAGATAACCAAAGTGGAAATGCTGAATGCCCAAGGCAGTGTGCACACAGTGCGCTGTGACAGAGAACACTTATAGACCCTTGCAGCTATTCTGTTGCTGAATGTTCCACATAATCCTGATGACGCGGGACACCAGTGATGCGGGGAAAGTTTCTAAAATTCTAGCTGATCACCAGCCTTTTTGAACTGACTCTTAATACAGGACTATCGCAGATTGGAATCCGCATGTTTAGTTCAGTGACTCCTGTTATACCACGTCAAGATGATAGTTGAGGAATGTTAAAACATGAAAAAACATTTCAAAGAAAATAAAACAGAACAAAGGACTTTTTCCCATGAGTACTGAACCAGCTATTTCATCTCCCTAAGCTTTGTTCTGCCATATCGACTATTAGACTGAGATTTTCTAAGGGTAAAGACTATTTTTCCTTATTAGTTGCAGAAGATAACATGAAGACTAGCAAAAATTGAATTGTGGGTGATATATTATCAAGTACTTAGAGAAGCATGTACTCAAAGGAATGAACAACAAACTACTCAAGGCATCCAGCCTACCTGGTAGCTGCTTCCTTTCCAAAACTTCTTCATCTCTTTGCGCCTCCAAGCAACAAATGAGCTAGTAATGAGTGTACATGGTACAAGATAGAGAAGGGCAGGTTGTCCCATCTTCATTAATGCCAAAACAATGAAAGTCAGCACCATACCAATGGCATAAGCTATTAAAAAAAATATATATATTTATACATACACAGTAAAAAACAGGTGAATTTTTAAATTAAGTCACTCATTCAGTAAGCCAGAATTTTTTTTTTTTTAAAGTAACATCTTCATTGTTAATATAATTAAAGAAAAGAGGGACAACAGGTTGCTCTGTATTTGCAAGCTTTCTCAAAACAACCACCATGAAGAATACTCAGCTGGAACATTGGCAGACACATTAAAAAAAAGATTATAAACAGACTCAGGACAACATTGAACTTTTACCTGAAGAAAACTATCTAGTTCTGCCATTTAGAAAAAGCTAGGATGAAGATTAACATCGCTGAAATATCGCAACTTACCTATCGTACAGGAAATGTAGTACACAGAAGATGAGCGTGTTTGAACATCAAATCTTCGACAATAGGCAACCAGAAGCCCTTGAAGAAAAAAAAAAGGATTAATGATATATTTAGCCACTAATTTTTTTCTCTCCCCAATCCTCCAAATCAAAGCAGCATAAAAGGAATTTATAGTAAGATTTCCCATTACTGTATGTTATCTTCTTCCCATCTATTTTTGGAAAGCCAAGAACCAGTTTAAGAAATCTTACAGTAAGTCTTGAAAATCAAGACCATAATGGAAATATAAGCCAAATGAGCCTGGTATTAAAATGTTTTGGCTTTTTAAGCAAGCTAATTACATTGTGCTATTTTCAGTTTTCTAATACAGAAGAGTAACAACGTGGGTTTAATACTTTTCTTCAACAGGATTTTAATGCTCGCTCTTCATAATCAGCAATTTTACCTGCACGTTGTTCACAAGATGGTGCTTTGTGCCTGATTTAAGTAATTTGCTCAAGACTCCAACTATGTCAAAATTCAGCTCTTCTGAGGAAGACTGAAAAACTTGATAATGCATTTTCTGTTACCTCACCTCTAATTAGGTAGTCTAGGATATGACAACACTATGAAGTCACAGAATACTTGCTTTCGGTGAGACTTCAAAGAGATTTAATTAATACTGACAATTGGATTTATCTGTGAGACTTGTATTTATACAATATTGTGCAATAGAAGAGCAAAACCTCTTCACTATTTAAGTGTTTTGTAACACACTAAGCTTTCTTATATTGTGGCTTTTGTTGTATTCTGCACTGACAAACCAAGACAAACTGCTGCATTTGACTTAGTAATTACTTTGTAGAATAAACTCTAATATAAGTCAGTGGAGAATCAAACCCAAAATATTAAATCATAAGTTAAATTGTCAAAAACATTTGCTCACCTGGGACAATAATGTCTCCAAATCCCAACAATGAAAATGGCATGTCACACAGTGTCGATGCAGAGTATTCGAGTCTAGGCACTCTAATAACCACGGGTAACTGTAAAACAGTAGATTTATGTGGGCTTCTGAAATAATCTAAAACATCCTGGTGTTCTGGATTTTTTTGTTTGTTTGTTTGCTTAAATTAACAAACAGTTTTAATATAATTAATTTATTGTTAATGCAGAACTTCAAAATAGGTAGAACCTAAAGTAAAAACCAGAAACCAACATAGAGAGTGGATAAAGCTTAAGGCAACAGGTAAGCTGGAATTTCAGATTTACAAATAATACGCACACATCAAAAAAAAGTTAAAACAACATTTAACCATATAATGGGAATAAGAAATCTGGATTATTAACCTAACTATAGAGTATTGATCAGTGATATCCAGGCCCTGAAGAGAAATTTGGACAGTCAGGTTTTCCCCAGAAGAACAGTCTTTTCAGAGGGAATCATTTAAAAATCCAGTATCTGAAATACAATCCTTACTTTCTCATGGGGAGCTGAGCGTTCAGTAGGGACTTCCACCAAGTTTCCATCATTCTAGGATCAAACCCAAGTCAACAGGTATTTAATACTTAAAAGAAAATAGCAGAAGCTGGCTATATTTTGTGAGAAAGTTATGCCGAAAAGCACACTATGAATTAGCTACGCAGTGTCAGTATTTTTATGTTGCACATACTAAAACAACTGTTCATACCTTTTCACTATTTCCAAAAGGGCCAGCTGCAACTTCAACCATTATACTTGCCCCATTCTGAAATTCAAGTTATTTTTCAAAAGTTAGTGGTTTAATATACAAGAACGTTCATACTACATTTACAAAAAAACTGCTTGTGCCTCATTTTACAATCCAGGATTGGAAAAATCCTGAATATCAAAAGGAATGCGCTAGTATCATACATACTGTTTTGCATTAAAAACATGCAGCCCAGCCTAAAATAACTTTAAAAAAAAACCCAAACAAACAACAAATCCACTAGATGTATGGAAATTTAGCTAAAAACACGTCAGCTTTTTCCTGCCATGAGCTTTCTGCTTCAAAATAAAAGAAGGTAGCTTGCATACAGTTCATACTACACTGCAAACGAGCACCGCAGAAAGTACTAGAGCATGTTCCAATATACAGGTGTTAAAAGCAAAACAAGAAAATGGGAAGACAGTAATTTCTCATCATCTTGCTGCCACACAACTGGGGACAGCTTACTTTTAAGTTTTCAGCAGTCATATGGCCAAAAGTCACTTAAGAAAACTTACGGCACCTACATAAGCATTACACTCTGCAGCCCATACAAGATGAAAAATTAGGCCACTGCCGTCTTAAATGGGGAAAAAGAAAAGGAAATCAGCACTTCTGCATTAGAATACCAAAAGCACTAACCTGTTTGACAAAAATACTCCCCTGATGACCACAGAACATTTTTGGGTTTATTTTAAAGATAAATTCACAGACGTACCTTTGTGATAAAGGGTGTTATGAAGACAAAAAACACATCATATAGAAGGAGAAGGCCTAGAAGTATCACACAGGACTGGCAAAAAAAAGAAAACAAATTTTACTGTAGGTTTTCAAGGACGGCATAGCTACATTCTGGTACTGTTACTGTACCACCATGTTAAAAAAGAAAAAAAAGCAGGGGGGAGGGCACAGCAGAGAGGAGAACACCACCACCCCACCCCTCAACCCCATGTTTTAATTCTGGCATAAAATTTAGAATATTATTCATTTTTTTCATAATTACTAAAACCAGTAAAGATTTCTTTTTTAATATATATTTCTTGAGTGTTGAAAAACTACTTTCTGATACTAAACTTCCAGATTCATGGCATTAGAATACTTTCTTAAGGTAAGCAACTTACAGTACCTTAAAGTTGGGCATTTTCAGTGTTTTAATAAAGTTTAGGCAGAAAGCAACTCCCAAAATATCTTGCAAAATCCAAGCCCACCTAAAAACAAGAACATATTTTTACACATTGTTCAAACTATTGCTGGAATCTAAGTGCAATAATGATTTTAGACTTTGCTGGAAATAGCAAGATTGCAAAATGGATTGGAAAGCAAGAAAATAGCTTTTAGGAAGTATTGCTACCAAACCTACAAAAACACTAGTTTCAAGATGGTCAATTTACACTTGCCTCTGATCACAAATAGGGAACTGTTCTTCATCACTGCCCATCACAGAGAAAATGAGTTGGACAGAAGCCATAATAGGGCCTTGGTGTTCGCTCCTATCATTGCTCACTTGATTGGAAACCCTACTTAACTTCTGGTTCAAGGTGCTACTTCGGATTGTACTGTAATATTTGTGTATTTGTGGTCCTGTGCTTCCACTGGACCGCAGGAAGCATAGGTCCTATGGCCCCCATGCTATTTTTGTACTTTTTTTCCTTCTGTGGCCATCATTAGCAATCAAGCTAGTTCTTCCTCATCTTCATAATTTTCTGTAACTTCAAATTACCACACGGTTCATTTGTATAGCTTTGTTCTCTATTATTCCCATGCTTGTTAAGCTTCATAAATACTTTCATGACTGGAGTTTAGAAGGATGCCATGCTCCAAGATTAGTAATGCAATGGGAAGTTCACTAATGACGATTTTTCATATTACTCTTTTAAGTCAGAATGCATCACTTACCTATCTTCATTTCGAAACACTGCCCAGACAACAGCTGCTGCTGCGCAGAATACAGCAAGAAAAATAAGCCTCACTTCAATGTTTTTGTTGCAACATGCAATCCTGAAAGAAAATTAAATTAAAAAAGAAAGCCTGCAACAGCCAAAACATACACCCGTGCTATCACAGCTCCTTAAGCTGACAAGGTGTTCTCATCCTGAGACCTTCTCCCTCCATGTGGACTCAGGTGGCACTATTCTGGCAACTGCAGTAGCAGTGCTTCTCCGGGCTGCATGAAAAACATGCCCACAGATAGTAAGCTAAGTCGGGCATTGATGGCCAGTCCTCATTTCAGCAAACATGTCCAGAGAAGGAAGCACGCAGATGAATTTATTTAATCCATTTCTGTCAGGTAACAATTATGGCAACAGAACTACGTCAGTGAGGGACAGCTATGTCACCATTCCAGAAGGGGGTGGGGAGGGGGGAATCAATTTTAGGGCACACGATACAAGATTAAAAATTGAATAACTACGTATTGCAAAATTGCTAGCCAATATCTGTTTCCACTGCCTACTCAGTTTTCTAGGACAGTTCTTGAACTGATACTAACTGACAGAAGTAATGCCTGTCCTGTAGCTTACACAAAACCTGCTGTCTTTTCTGCCTGGTTGCCACCTTTGATGGGCTACCAGATCATCTGGTGCTAGCATCCTGTACTAAGTAACATAATCTTGGGCTTTCAAGCTTATAAGCATTGTTCTTTTGGGGAAAAGAACCATGTGTTACATTAGAAGTTACGAGTTTTTTAAAGTGAAAATACAGGGAAGGAAAAGAGGGACATTCCCATACTCACTAATACCTGAAGGATATTTAATTCAGACTAGTAAGAAGAGGCTATCTGTACACTGATAGCACACTACCTGAGTTTGGACTGTAACTGCTAGCTTCTAACACAGAGGACATGAGCAATGTGTTGCCTTCACAAGAAAAAGTTAACACTTGGTTTGTCACAGGTACAGTACAGATTAACATGAGGAAAAAAAAACCAAAACTCTTATTGCCTACAGTATAGTACTTGCTCAAAAAAGGATCAAATGTGGATGTTTCCCCCTTACAGAATTCCTTGACGAACAAAGTGAACACATCCTACAGGCAATCTGGATTTTGTAAAACTGAGCTCAGACGACCAAGCAAAGCCTTTCAAGTTTGATTACAGCAATGCTTTCAAATAAAGGTAATGCAGCAAATCTTCCACAACACTATTTTAACTGTTGCTTATGCTACGGATACCTTTAATATACATTAAAGGAGCTTGTAACTTCCTTTATTAACAATCCCACGCACGAAACCATACAGGAAACAATTTGTCAGACTGTTCTCATATTTTCCCACTACCTTGAGCAGCAACCAGAAAATACGCAAAGGAAACCTCAGTTATAATAACTGAAAGGTGTACAATACCTGCACTGCCCAAATGGTATTTCTCCTATTAATGCCGCAAGACAGTTGTATAGACTCATTGCAGATGCCAAGCAGAAGACTGATATTATAACATACACTAAATAAAAAGAATGGAAGATGGGAATCAGTGACAAAATACAATAGAAAAAAAATAGCAAACAGGAATCAAACACAATGACGTACATTTGATATAAACTGTTAACAGTTATAGCACTGCTTGATAGTCACTGGAGACTGCAGTCATCTGATCACAGAAAGTGCTGAATTCTGACTGTCTCTGCCATGGCAAGAGTCCTCATGAAGAAAAGACTTGAGTTTTGAAATTTTTTAATCGAAAAACTTCTTTTAAAAAAAAAAAAATTCCTCCCTTTTCTTTAAGAAGAAATATGCCATCTGTTACCGCTTTCACATACTTTTATTGGGTTATGGCTAAAACCAAAGTGCTATTTTACAACTACCAGCCTTCTCAGTTTCTGATAACACTCCTCACTTCCAATTTTCCCTTTAATCACTTTATCTGCTTATGCATAAAAATTTCAAGATTTGACTGATGATTTAGGTGGCATTTTAAGATATTAAGCTCCTCATCCCTTCCAAAAATTTCTGTGCAGTTAGGAACCACATGGTTAGGGAAAAACCTCTATAGTGCATGTTAACCTACAGTATATTGTGTATTCCAATTTACAGTACGCACTCTGAAATGTGGACAAACTATAAAACCAGTTGTTTGCTGGTTGGGGTTTAGTGGGGTGTTTTTTTGGTAGTGAAGGTCTGGCCAGAAAGCCATTCTGATATCTATAAGGAGATTACTGAAAGAAACAGGCAAGAAAGGTGGACTTTATAGTTGTAACCAAGATCACGTGCCATTATGATCTGTTAAGCCCCCAACAGGCAAAACATTAAGTTTGGCACAACAGGTTCCTCTGAAGTCAGTAAGAAATCAGCCATTAGGGAATCTCAAATTTTCAGGCAACAATGCAGAATTAATAACGCCTGAATACTTACAAAAAGAGATACAGAGAACTCCATCACAGAGCTCAGCTCTGCAACTGCTTTTGTGCTGGAAACATGCCCTCCCTAGTACTTCAGTTACAGAATTGATCTTAAGTCCAAGTACTGAAATTAGGACTTATGTTCACACACTGTAGTAGCGACATAAAGTGGGGGCTTTTTGGTTGCTTGTTTTCAATTAAATACAGGTTTTTCCCTGGGACAGCATGTCATACCATGGTAAAAGCTTCTTTACGTCCAAGAAATTTCATGTATGTCTGCTCCAAAGCGCACAGAACTAAGGCTTCTTCGAACCATTCACATTTCTTCCTCCCCCTAACCAATTTGTTACTCCTCTCCCTTCCTCCTTTAAGAGGGCTCTTTCTTCACTTCTTCCTAAATCTCACCTGAAACATCTCAGAGTAAATAGCAGACATTTTTAACCTAAACCTTTTGATCACATTAAAAGGTTCATCAGTCTTAGCAGGACAAGTTTAGTAAAGGTAGTGTTGCCCATCAGATAACAAAAGCTAAACAAAATCAGAAGTCAGGATGGTGAAGTATGTTTTGCAGAAGCAGGAGGTTAACTGGTAACAAATTCTAGGAAAGGGAATGTAGGAAGCTTTCAGAATGAAAGTTACATTGTTCATGCTAAAAAGTGTAATTTAAGACAGTGTACATCTTCCATTTGCATCATTTGAGGACAGAAAAAATCAACCAACATTTTGGAAACTATATTTTACTGGAATTGCATAATTCAAGAACTCAGCTTAGTGCCAGTATGCTTGAGTTTATTCCATTATGATAATGCCATTTTGTCTGGTAGTTTAATTAGGGTACTGTAATCACAAATTCAACGTCAATGTAGCAATACCAAACAAAGCTTTCACTCTAAACACTACTAAGTTATCATTGCCATCCTCCCAAGAAAGTTGACAGACATCATGTACCTTTTTTCACCAGTCGCTAGTCACCTCTCCTCCACATTCCTTCATTCAGAATAAGCACTGACAAGGCACACTTTGTAAGAGAGTAAAAGAAACCTTCTCTCTAAGTAGCAACTATGTCTTTTCAACCCTAAACACATACATGGAGATAACAACTAAAAAAATTACATTAATTTTAGTTTAGAAATCTAGCTTTTTCAGACTTGGATACCTAATAAGATCGTGCAGAAAAATAAACCAAATGAGATTATCTTACCTAGCCATTTGTAAAAGAAATAAAGTAAGACCAGCATGACACAACAGATGACAACAAACAAGATAACTGTCACAGGGGTGAAAGTAACATTTTCTTCCTTCTTCCGTCTTGTTTCTCTCTCCCCAGGACTTGCTATCGCTTTCAAATTCTCACTGTTTTAAGAAAACAACAAACACATTTACCTCAGATGACAGATTATAAAAACATTTTGCTATGACCAGAATTGTTGGTTATAAAGCATTTAGACTGACAGCATTTCAGACTAATCCCTCATTAATAATTAATTATTATTATTTAATAAATTAAAATTAATAATACAGAAAAATTGTATGTTTAGTGTTTTAGTTTCTCTCCATTTTTTAATGGAGATATGCACTTCTAACCTAGCATAGATCACAAGGAAAAGATTCTTAACTACCCTCCTTTCCAATTGTGTGGTCATTGCTGACTTTAAGCTTAGAGTACCCCTACCCAAAACTCTGATCCATGTGAGGAAAAGAAGCCCGATATCAAAACTCAAATTCCTTTTCAGGATGCACACACTCAACTCTATTAGCGCATCACCTCTGACCATGAAATTTCTTGGGCTAAATATAGTCAATCTGATAAATACGTCTACAATAAATCAGAATCATGGGTATTACACACAGCTTTAAAACCTCAACTACAGACGTTAAGTGTCTGCAAAACCCATTCATGTTAGCAGAAGGAAGCTAGCTAAGTACTAGTTCTTTTACCCTTACACCTCATAATTACAGAGTAAGCGAGAGACGGTGTAATTGGGGATTTTCACTGGGAGTAAGATTTCTGTGCACACAGCTCCATATTTATACCTCACTATGCAAAATAAGGAGACTTAAATTGTTGTGTTTCTTCTTTGAGCAGATAGCCCTACTATGCTTTAGCACAGACACTAGTGCAACTTGCCCATCAGATAGCGTGTTCCTGACGAATCCCAGGACCTACCTATAAAATGCTGAATTCAGCAATGAAACAGCTACCTTCAAAAGAGAAAAACCCACAGGAGTAAGGCACTTTGTTAGATGAATCACCTTCTCTGAGGACATGCTTTGAATAAGCAGCTTTAAAAAAAAAGGCTCACCCTAGATTTGTGAAAGTGCGCTTTAACAAGTTAATATAATTACATCGAGGTATTTTTCAATATGGGAGACAGCATCACATTTTGTTATTTTAGCATTCAGTGCAGCCACACCCTATAGCACTGCAGGGTAAAAAAGAAGCATAAAAAAGATCCAATCTTAAAAAAAAAAGAAACACCCCCCCTCTCCTTTTAATCTCTTTAAAATCACTGGATTTGCCTAACTAGTGGGAAAGAGGAAGTTGTTGTTATCACATACAATCCACCCCCTGTTGTTCTGGGGAGCAAAGCACCAGAACACCACTGAGAATGGGAAGCCCTAGGTTGCAACACACACTGGCACATTCAGCATACACAGATATCCAAAAAATACTGCATAAAAATACCATGCTTTGGACGACCAGCTATATCCAGTTTAACCCCAGACTAAAAACAGTCCCGTGCACCAAGTGTGCTTCACTTCACTAAACAAAGCTGCACCCCCTCAAGCACGGTGCAGAAACCCCCACTACCCCTTGCTTCCCTGCATTTGCCACATTCTACACTTCCACTCCCTCCCCTCCCCTGCACAGGGACTGCTGCTGCCTCCTTGCCCCTAGGAGCTCTAGGACTAGCCTAGTCCTAGAGCTGCTATCGCCCCGGCTCTGTTGCTCCAGCAGGTAACAGGCAACGCTGAAGCAGACAAGCCTAGCTGGACTTCAGCTGTCTGGAGCCACCCGGACACAACCAAACCACATTCCCCAGTGCTGCTGGTGGCAGGAGCGTGGCGTAGCCAGCACTCAGCTGGCATGAAGCAGTTGTACAGATCCCTGCCAATGCAGACACTATGTACAACTATGTATGCACCTCTTGGATCACCGGATTTTAAAGGCATCATTAAAATACCTACCTTCTATCATGGATATTGGAGTATTATGATGCTAGTTATAAGGGTATTTGGTAATTTGTCACAATGTTAACTCATTCTTCCTCCCAAGAGCTGCATTATCCTTCAGGGACCTTTGCAAACTACTACTCAAGGTTCCTCAAAGATCTATGGTGATTTTTCCAAGGTTGCAGCACGCAAGCATTTCATGGCAAAGCAGCTAATTGCACCTAGATCTTCTAATATTTTAACTACCAACCTAAAAGAACATAATTTCTCACTGATCATAGGGACATTTTTCACAAAATTTCTAGTCCACATAATTTAAGCAGCTCTGTTTAACAAACTCACAGTTCTGCTACTCCGCTCCAGTAGCCTCCTAGTGCCACTGTAAACACAGCAATTAGGAAGATGACAACCATACTGCAGTCAAACTCTGGCAAAGGCGGTGAATACAGAGTCACATTAACTTCATTTCCAAGTGTCTGAAAAATAACATACAAGTTGGTTCATAAGGACAAAGACATGATATTGCTTATTTTCCAACAAGATGCACATCATGATTTCCTACTCTTAACCAATACAAGGCCAAGAGCAAGTTTTCAACTCACTGCACAAGACAACACCCCACATATTTGATTTGCCTTGGTCATTTTAAAGAAGCAATGCTTTCCATGCTGCCTTTCAGGATGGTCAGGTTTGAAAACAACCCTATTATCACTGCTGTGGAAACATGGATACCACAAGGCAAAATGGTACTTCTCTGCATTCTTTCAACACTTCTGAGATGTTGTGCCTCCAGACCAAAGGCTTTTTCATGCCCCAAATATACCAAGCACTATCAAAGATGTCAGCTCTGCAGAAAAGCATATAGGAGTCAATCAACTTGAAATACAAACTCACAGGTCCACTGAGGTATCAGCAGAGGTCTACCTCTAGCCTACCTCTAGCTCTTGAAACCACAAAACTCACAGTTCAGATACAGGCAAAATGCTTCAGACAGGACAGTGAAAACTCAAGGTGGCAGAAAGTTCTTTACTAACAGCTTTACACAACCATGATTTGAGGTGGATTCAGCAGAAAAGAAAGCAATTTCACACTACTTAAAAAATTTAAGACTAAACTAAAAAGCACAATCAGCTGAAGGACACTGAAGATGGAAGGGAATGCAGAGACATAACTGATACAGAATCGTACAAAAATCTTGAAAGCAAAACCAAGATGCTTCCGTTTGAACGGTAAGATATAAGAAACAAAAAAAGGATGATAATTTGACAGGAAGTGGAAGATGGTAGGGAAGAAAGTTTGCTGTTGTAAAGTCAGTCAAGGCATCTAAAGCAATCCTGCAGTGAAAACAGAGATGCAGCAGAAAAGCAGACGTGTTAACAGCCTACATGTGGGATAAAAGCAGGTGAGGAACTAACATGCCAGGCAGGTTTGGCTACAGGAAGATCAAACTGGCAGTGCAGAGGCTGTATGGGAAGCCAAGTAGTGTAGTGGAATACACTAGCCATGTGAAGAAAGTTGATTCACTTCAGTATCCAAATTATCTAATTACAGATATTAACCTTACTGCAGGCTAAAGAAGTGAGAATCATTCTTTGCCTGAAGCTATGAAAGTTCAGAAACCAAGAAAGAAAATTAAATTCTAGTGACACATCGCAGTTGAATGAAGTGTAACATAACATCAGACAAAGGCAAAAAACCCTGTTCAAATTACAGCATCCTGTATGTAAAAAAAAAAAACAAAAACCAAAAAAAACCAAAATAAAATCCCAAACCAAAACAAACAGACACAAAAAAAGTATCGAAAAACCCCAAGAAACCTATAGGCTTACAAATTCATAGTATTTAATTCCAACATGTCTTAGTCCAGTTTTTCCTTTAAGTTTCATGAACCTTATAAACTATAATTCACATTAGTATCTAAAGTGAGTTTCCTTTTGTTCCTATTGTTCTGCTCTTCACTAAAAACTTGCAAAGTCTCAGCTTCCACCATAGGGAGCACTAGAATCAAATACATCGCGTCAGATAACTCTGCAAGAGAGCTGTCCACTTACTAGAAGGTTTGTAACACTCTGCTATTGCTACCAAGACTTATAATATACCAGACTCAAATTGTGAAAGCTAACAGAGATGAAGTCTCCTAAGTAGAAAGACTGCTTATATGAACTAGCTACCTTCAGACTGATGCTGCCTCTCTCTTCTAAATAAAAGTAGAAAGTTGGAAGCCTTGAAAAGAGTTAAAACAACTATAGCAGGAAGACCACAAGGGCTCCCAGGTTCTAAGCAGGAGATATCATTCAAAACAGCTGCCCGTGACATAACCAAAGGCTTTGGTAAAAACTACATCAGAACTAGGAAACAATTGCTTGTAGTCTATGCTGTGTTCCTCATTACTTTCATGAGGGCAGTCTCATTGTAAGACAAAACCAAATTCTTTGAATCAACATCAGTATGAGACATCATCTGGCACACTAACCTACTAGCAAAGTTACTCTGGTGAATTACTGTAGCTATACAGAAGCGATTCTACATGACACCACCCCTAGCAGCATTAGGCAATACAGTGGTGCAGAGAAGATTCAGAATAAATTAGGGATCTAACTCTGCCCTAATTCCTTTTCATGTTAGTAGGGCATATCTTAAAACCACTCAACTCAGCAAACACTTGTCTTACTCAAAGGAACAAGCTTGAAGACAGAGGACAACCCAAACCAAAACACAGAATTCAACAAGACTACGGCAGACTGAGGACAGTCATCACAAACCTTCAGTCATGTCAATGCTCAGCAAGAACCAATCTTTAATGGGAACAGACAGCAAACAACCTAAGTCCTACACATCTAGGCAAGGTTTCAGTTTGCATACTTACCCTAAGACAACCGCCCTTGCAACTCTTAAGATTAAGAGCAGAAATGTTGAAGCGCACTTGCAAATTCAACCCAAGAAGCTAAGACTACCCAGGTTAGTGCTAGCCTCTGCTATTCACAGAAAAACACGTGGAGCGCAACTCCTGCCTAGCAAAGCTATGTAACGCTAAATAAAAACCAAAACAGTAACAACAGACACCGAAGAAAAGGTACTGTTTTCTCTAAAACCCTCTGCAATATTCTGTATCCTAATATTACATGTCAGTGAAAAGCCTCCCCTGCTTGTAAAGTGTAGGAGATACCACAACTGCCACATTTTCATGACGCACACTTGGCATCTCATCACGGACTCCTCAGCAGAAACTCCCAACTACACTGTCTAACTGCTCTGTAACAGATGCTGTCATGCTATACAGAGAGCTCATCATTCAGCAAAGACAAAAAAAAAACAAACAACCTCACACCTTCCTCAAGATGCAACCTGATAAGGACCCGGTTGCCTGAAAGATACCATGCCAGTAGATACAAGCTCAACTGTTCTAGCTTCTGTGCTAAAGGAACAGCCCTCTCAGGCTACAGCTCTTGACATGTCAGGCATCTGCAATTGTATCGAAGTCTACTGGAAGGCTGCTTATCTTGTTTAGCAGGAAGACTTCTAAGATTACCCTCCCTCCAGTTAGGTATTATGTTTCCCATTCTTAGTGTTCTAATTAATCATTCTCTCAAATTAATCTGAATTAGGAAGGCTAGCCCTTCCACAACTTCCTATCCACCCTCTTCTGTGAAACTGAAAGCAGTATCTACACACTTTCAAACATCCATATCTGACCTGAAACTATTTTATTTATTTGTTCAAAAATCGAAGTTTATACAACCCTAACATGCTGAAGTTATATTACTTACCAGCTGCATATCTACAATGTCATTATATCTTATAAGAGCAACTGGAAGAGTCACATCTTCAAAATCAGTCTTGTTATCCGAAAGAGGAGACTAAAAAGAGAAAGTGTCAGTGATAAGTACATTGAGCCTATTTGCAAAGCAGGTTAGATCCCTAAAAGCAGATTATCCTTTAAATTTCGGTGTCTTTGTAAGGTAAAAAATAAAGCTCATTCATCACCTTTTGCAAAGTTAATGAAGACAGATGTACTTAAAGCAAAACAGCCGATACTACCAACACCATCTGCATTAAATTCTTGTGCTCTTATAGTATTGAAAAAGATAATCAAAGCTGGTTTTATTCTCTATGCTTTTAAAACAAGATTAACTTTTCACTATAACCACAAAAATTCATAAATTGCAAATATTTGTACACACATATTGCAGCTCTAACAGAGAACAAAAAAGCAACAGAAGTATCTGTAAAGAGATCTCAAAACGCCTTTTTTTTATTTCCACTTTTGTATTACATTTTCCTGGCTTATTTATGTCACATGTGTCTAAAACAATACCACCTAAGATTACAGGGAGTTCAGTGTATACTAAAATTAGGGAATGATAAAGCATTTGCATTCAGAAGCACAATTAAAGATACAAGGAACAGATTAAAAATACAATTCAGCTGTAGGTACTTTCTGATGATGTAACACAGCATTGCACAGAGGTAACTCCAAACGACCCTCTCAGTCTCAGGAACAGCAGTTGTGCCAGCACAGCGCTCTGCAGGGAAGGCTCATGACTCATGCTGGAGTCCCACACATTGCCAGGGTCCTCTGCTTTGGGGGTTTCTGTCAGCTAACCCTTGGTAGGGTCCTCTGCTTTTGGGGTTTCTGTCAGCTAACCCTGCACAACACTGCATCGGACCAAATAGGTAAGACACTATTTCACCATGGAAGAAAACTGTATGTTCTAACTTACCAGCCTAGGTTTACTGGCAATCAACAGCATTTTAGCACCCAACCTTTGTGCAATCCTTGCTTTCTCCAAAAAAGTGCAGTTTCCTCTCAACACTACAACTGCTTTGTCCTTCATTAAGCCAGCAGGAACTTCAGAAGAACTGCAGAGTACCGTAGAAGTCAGGTTTTCCAGAGTCCTGAAAGTCTGCAGACAGAAGAGGGAGAAAAGGAATGCGATGAAACTAGGAAATCCAGAAGACTACATTACTATGCTCCCTAATTTGAGGTTTGCCAGAAAGGGGTGTTACAAAAAGGAATCATTAATTCAGGAATATAAAATCAGAGCAGCAGTTTCTGCAGCCTGCAACGCTGAGGGACATTTAGAGCAGCATATAGCTGAAATATCTAGCTGTTTCTAAGCTGTAATTTAAACAAAAGAAACTAGTTATCAGTGCTTGTAGTTCTGGGGAATCCAGTGTGCACTCTGTGGTGTTTCCAGGCTTCACAAGCCAAAAGAGCACTGACAGATACAACATAACCAGAGCTCTGAAGTATAATACTTGTTCAAAAACAGTTGGCAAGCCTGACAACGTATTACTTGTTACAAACGAAGTAAAAAAAAAAAAAAATAAAAAATTTCTATACGTATTTCAAAGTTCAATTCCGTATTGACAAATATTTTAAAATATTGGCAGTTTTCCTTAGTTAGTCAAGGCATCCCAGTAGCCAAAGTAGCACGCAGCAACGACGTTTGGGGCAGACAAATAGTTTTCACTCTGTCTTACACTGAGTTAACCTGCTAATGGTGACAGGAAAGAAGGGAGAGAAGAGTATCCTGATCACTTCTAAACACAAAGTATTTCCTGTTTATATGAAGACTGCCTAAAGAAAACTTGTTTCTGCCTTGCACCCCAGCTTGGCTCAAAAAAAACACACTCAGAAAATATGGCATGACGATACATTCCAGATAATCTCCTATCCCACCACATGTTTTCAAGACAATTAAACAGAAGATCAAACTGATGAACTAATAAAAGAAATCTGTTTCACAAGTTTACAACATTTTTGTAAACAAATAAACACAAGTTTTACTCCCAAATAACACCTGAAGAAAAAAATTAACAACATCAGCTGAATATGTAAACATATTTAAAACTAGTTCTAAGCACAGAGCAAGCGCCTCCTTTGTAAACTTTGGAAGCTGACTTTTTAGTCAGAAATGTTCACTAAATAATTTGGGGGGGGACAGAACAGCAGGACATGACCCCAAAAAGGTAACTATTCAATGCAGCACCTATTTAACTCAAAAGTTTGAAGACCAGTTATAGCTGACTCAAATCCATATTGCAAGGAGTATGACTATAAACTTCTTACAGCATTGTCCAGACTCTTTGGAAGAGATATCCAATTAGAATTGTAAATGACGCAGTAATCCTTTGTTACTGGAGGTACACCACCACCAGAAGCGTGCAGGATCCCCTCATCCGCAGTTACCTGCAATAAACCAGAGTGTTCTGAATTAAACAAAGCTCAGAATATCAGTATACAGACATTCTTCTAAAAAGCTGTAAGGAAGAGAAAGAGCTGTTAGGAGAAAAGGAATTTATTAATTTAATTATTTTATGTAATGATTGATTCCATGAGAGATGGGTAGCTTGAGAGCAGGAGAGAATCTAGTCACTATAATGCTGCTTATCCTCATTTCAGATACAAGGTGTTTGTCACGTGTACAGTTCATATCACGAAGCAGAACATCATCCAGAAACCCAGACAAATTATTTCCAAATCTGTATCCTGTAACTTTCCAAAAAGTGTAAAATTTTATATAGAAAACAATTAAAACAGTGCATGGAAAAGTGGATTAAAGTCCCTGTTGAGGCCACATCTGGAGTACTTGGTCCAGTTCTGAGGCCCCCAGTTCAAGAGGGACAGGGAACTACTGGAGAGTGTCCAGCGGAGGGCTAAGATGAGGTGACTGGAGCATCTTTCCTACGAGGACAGGCTGAGAGATCTTCTAGCCTGGAGAAGTGAAGACTGAGAGGGGACCTTACCAACACATACAAGTATCTCAAGAGTGGGTGTCAAGAGGATGGGCCCAGGCTCTTCTCAGCGGTGCCCAGTGACAGGACAAGGGGCAACGGGCACAAACTGGGGCACAGGAAGTTCCGCTTGAACATGAAGAAAAACTTCTTTACATTAACAGTGACAGAGCACTGGAACAGGCTGCCCAGGGAGGCTGTGGCCTCTCCTTCCCGGGAGATACTCAAAAGCTGCCTGGACGCAGTCCTGTGCAACCTGCTGTAGGTGAACCTGCTTTAGCAGGGGGGTTGGATTAGGTGATCTCCAGAGGTACCTTCCAACCCCTGCCATTCTGTGATTCTGTGAAAGTCTTTCCCTCCTTGCAGAGTCTAGAATTTCCCCTACTGATAAAGGGATTATATGGCAGTTCCTATAATATAATTTACCAAATAACTGTAAACACAAAGATCAACTAGTGTACTTTAAGAACTTGTGTGGTTAAGGAAATACTGGTGTCTCTTAAGATTACTCTCAGAGTCCCTCACATACTATGATTTCTGTTATTTACTAATACAGAGGAATTTTAAAGCTTCTGATAATTTTAGGGATATATACTTCCCCCCGAGCTTTAATATACTAATAAAGGTCAGGTATGTAAGTGGATACATGAACAGACTAAGGAGTAGATGTAGCTACAGCTGCAAAGGAGTGAAAACAAACAAGCATCATTTGTATCTCAAAGCGTCACCTTAAGAAAACTGGGAGATGATCTTATTTCGACTGTTTTTCTTGAGAAAGAAACTGACCTCAATATCAGGAAGTACTCGTGGATTAAAAAAAATTTAAATCCTCTTGTAAATTCCAGGTTTGTCTGAAAGAACACTGAGATACTAAGCTAGAAGTAGGCATGGGCAAGGGGGGAAAGCCCAAATATTTCTCTGATATACAATACTAATTATTAACAGCGCTATAGAGGCATTTCTCCTCAGGCTAGTGTATCAGTATTCTGCAGCAAGTGAGAACCAGAGAGAAAAGAAAAACATGTGACGACATTGTTTCAGAGGTTTATGTCTCCCTGGTTTGAATAGCAAAAAACCTTCTTCAGAGGAAGCCATTATATTGGCCACAGCACACGAACATCTGCTGGGAGAACTGTGTCAAAGGGCCTGAGCACATTAACTGTTTAACATATAACATCTTCAGCTGTCAGCCAAAATAACTTGTTCCATGATTTACGATCAGCACAAAAATTGTCAAGCTTCCCTCTTAAGTGCACTCACCTAAAAGTACAAACTAACGGCAAATTCAAAGCAATAAAAACTTCCAGCAGGTGCAAACCCCAGATGTTTCCATCCATTAAAAAGCTCTTTCTGCTTCGCGAAGTAGAATAATAAGTGGTTTTTGGGTTCCAGGAAATCAAGTGTTAATGCTACACAAACATAAGTCTACCTAGAAGGAGTGATTACTTGCTTATTTGATACGCATGTTTTGTTTGGCAAGCTTCCCTTCTCTGGGGATGAATCAGGGAACACAATTCTTGCTCACAAAGTCGGGGGGAGGGAGGACCAGAGCATGACATTTACTCTCACATTATTCATTGCTGAGCTCTAAAGACAGCATTTAGAAGTTAAAAATTAAGAGAAATGCTACATGCAACATCTCGCTTCGAACATCCCCACTGAAATCCAGTTGCATCCAGCTAACTTTTATTATTTTCTAATTGCTTCGGTATTCTTCTTTCAAACAAAGGCTACTAGTTTGGGTACATGGCCTTGCAGTCAGCCGTGCCACTTAACAAATCTCACTCTCAGCATACGTGCAAAGTAAAAATTTCTCACTGAGCACATTTTCAATCTCATTACTTAAGTAGAAGACTAAGAGTGTGTCCAGAAAATTGTTCCTGAAAAGATTAACCTGTTTCCATAGGTTGACTTGCTCCAGCATAAAAATGTTCCCACATGGAGTAGAGGCGTGATGGCTGTCCTTACCTGAAGGGGCATCACCATCTCCTTTCACTTCAGGTTCATACAATTCCCAATGGCCTCTCACCTTCAAACAAATTTCTTCCTATTTTTGACAGGTGGTTCCCTCATCATATTTCCTTCCTTTACCACCTTTAAACTTTTCTTGTATAATCCCTTATCTTTGGTAGAGAAGAAGAAGTCTCGTACTGTCTCTTAATTCTTATTTTTCCTAACACATCCCTGTCACTGCAGGGATATAAGCCTTGGCTGACTGTTGAGCTTTGGAGTGCACCGGTAACCCCATCACGTAGAATACTGGAAGTTATACGAAGCAGTGGACACGGAGACCAAACCAAGGCTACATTTACAAGGTCTGTCACTGTTAGCACCTAGATAAGACATACAACAAACTCAAAGGTACAGAACAGGGAGAAGGTATTTTTTATGCAGCAAGTGACAACATAAATCTCACAGAAACATAAAAAGGTAGGAAAGAACTAGCCACGAACAGAACAAGCACCTTTTCGTAGTTCTGCTGGCAGCCCTGTGACACACATAAAACGTCCCTCCTTCCAGGCATTGTGACCCAGGGGAACTGGTGCCCACGCTCAGAGAGCAGCAGTGCTCCTTCCCCAAACACCTACTACCTTCCTGAGCGCCAATTCCCCACGCTGTTAGTCTCAGGATACTTACTGTTCTTGAGGCTGAATGGCCTGGTCTAATGCTCACCACTGCTACAACTGCATTTGTAGAGCAAAGGAGGAGGCAGGACATGGGGCCTGGAGTCTTACAGGAGGGCAGGAGAAGCCCCTTCCCTTGTCAGCAGCAGCAAACCATCGGGTCAAGGAGCAAAGCCACTCTTTAGAAAACCCCAACGCAACTAATGACAGCTACATGGGACTCACAAACAGCAGGGAAGCACCGCATGGGAGAGACACAAGCTACTCCACCCACAGGCATTCTCAAGGCACTAACAAACTGCACTGTGCACCTACTGTTGAAGCATATCCAGTGGTGACTTCCTACACAGGAAAGTTCTCTGCAGCCTGCCTTACCAAAACAAGGTTAAAAGTATGTTAAAAACAAGGAAACCAACCAACCAACCAACCCCAACAACAAAACAACTTAGTGGAGCAGCATTTAATGCAGTGATGTCCTTCACACACTTAAGCAGATTACAGAGGTTTCTGGCTTCCCCATTTCGCTACTCCATTAGGCGGAGAGCAATCTACCAGAGTTCCACGGCAATGCACACCTGTGTGCAGAGAAAAGCTGCAAAGACGTCCCTTACAGGAACCAAAACGGCGCTTCAGATGAACAAGCCCAAAGCCAGGACACAGACACATAGCACGAGCTTCCCCCCCTTCCCCAGCACCCCAATTGAACTACCTCTAGAAACAACATCAGCGTTTATCTACGCAGGCACCCGGGAGACTTGTTATCCAACCCCACCAACGCGTGACCGGAGCCCGGCCTGCGCTCCCCGGGCGCACGGGGCAGGGCAGGGCAGGGGCTCGGGGGGGCTTGGGGGGACCGAGGAGCCTTGCCCGAGGCAGGCCCGAAACCACCCCGGGCCACACTTCAGAGCCAAACCTCCGTCCAGCCGGAGGAGACGGGAGCTACGCGGACCGCGCCCGCGGCGGCCGGGGTCCTCCAGGGAACGGTTCCAGGGGGATAAGGCGGATAGAGGAAGCCCCTCGGCCGGCAGAGGAGGAGGAGCGACGGGCGGCCCGGCCACCGGCACCC